CCCTGCAGGCTAGGATTTCCCCCAGGAGGGCCTTGGCGCTGTGCTCAGCCCTACTTCAATACCCCCGCCCTCCGCGGGGTGAATGGGAGCCCTGGCAGGGGAGGAGGGTGGTGTGTAGACCTGGGAAGCTTTACTAAACAGCCCCTTTCTGGTCCCAAAGCCTGAGGAGCAGTAGGGACTGTGGTGACAGCTGAGAAGGCACTTGGAAAGCTGTGGCTTGGAGGGAGGGCAGGGGGAGAGTGAGGCTGGTTGTGTGGTGCTCTGGGGCCCCAAAGATGCAGGCGGGGTGGGTAATCAGTAACCGGAGCGCACACTCCCCCAGATGACCAGGCCAGGCCAGGCCTGGCCTGCGATTTACTAAGTAAACACTGCCCCTTCCCCCGCTCTGATCCCAGCTCTCAGAGGCGCTTGTCATTTCAGCCCCAGGCTGTGAAACTTGGGGGATCCCCGAAGACTCTAAAGGCCAAGGGGTGCCTCCTAAGAGCTCACTAGTACCCACCTACTTCTTTCTGGGCCAGAGACCTAAGCAGTGGGTTCTGATGCCTGGGCTGACATTCATCTGGTTGCCTGGATACATGACCAGGCTTATCAGCCACTGAGAAGGGGCCGGATCTGGAATGGAGCAGGGGTTGGGCGAAGCAGGCCGATCTCGCAGAGCTGAGGAAAGGAGCTGAGCTGGACCAAGCCGGATCAGTCCAGAGAAAACAAAGTGTTTTTCAAGAGAGAGAGAAAGATTGACTTAGAGGAGGCTGTACTGCTTTTCTAGTTCAGCACCACACCGGCAGGGCCTAACAAGCCTGCTAGCCCCAGAAAGTCTCCTTTTACAAATGCAGATGGTAGGCCCTTAACGAGGATGGACTTTATTGATATGTCCCATTGGCTCCTCTTGCTGATCTGAAATGGAAGTTCTGGGCCCCTTCTACCTTTCAAGCCAAGGGAGGTGAGTGCCACAGGGCCACCCTACTGGACAGTGGCAGAACTGGGGCTTGAACCAGTCCTGCCAACGGCCCCCCACGGCTGCCAGGCTGCGCGCTGCCTCATGAAGCTAAATTAGCCTCCCTCACATTCTCTTCCCAGACCTTACTGGTTCATTTTTCCTTCAACACTCTATTAGAGTTTCTGTTGCAGAAGTCTCAATTCTGGATCCCTTCAGTGCCTAGGCCTGGGTCCATCCCCCCAGAGAATGGACCCGGCCTTTGCTTCCTTCTGTCTCTGAGGGTTCCACTCAGGGCCTGAACTGTACCAGCTTGGGCTGCCTGGAGGGCACTTTGCACAATAGGTAAATAGCCTGAGGCATTAGGCTTGTCCAGTCGCCCTGGGCCAAGTTACTTCCACTTTGGGCCTGAGCTGTCTTGGCTCAGGCTCCCCAGGCTGATGGAGTAGACAAGAAGGTGGGAACCCGAAGCCCCCAGGCCTGGCAGCTGGTACTCAGAGGCTGCCTGGGGGCATGAGGAACACCCACTGGGAGGTAGTACCATTGGGTGTCCACTGTGGTGTGGTGAAGAACCACCTGGAAGGTGTTTTAAGTGCTGGCTCCTTTGCCCCGGGCCCAGGAAGCAGACTCAGACTCCCTTTGAGAACAATGCTTATGCTCTCAAGGATGGGGGGGGGGGGGGGCCTGGGGGGAGGAGAACTGTGGTCACTTTCCCTTTCTAGGCCTCAGTTTCCTTGAGTCACAGTGCGGGCATGGGGGTGAACTGGATACAGTCCATAACAGAAAAAGGAAGGTTGGACAGTCATGGATACTCTTTCTCTGAAAAGTTGTGTAGTAACACATTCGCATCTGGGCTTGATTTTGCTTTTACTCCCTCATTATCATAAGAGACCTATGGTGGTGGTGGGGGGGGGGCTCTGTCGCCTGAGGGGGGGGGATGTTGCTCAGCCCCAGGGACTTGCATCACACCTCAGGATTTTCTGTTCTCTGAGCAGAGTGTCCAAATCCAAGAACGCATCGGCGCGCGAGCCAGGGCCCCACCCCCAGGGCAGGGTGCCACCCTCAACGCCTCCCTGTCCATTGCGTTAGACCCGGCCACCCGAGCCCCCGGGGAGGCTGGCTGACTTCCGCTGGTGACTGGAAGGAATCTGTTGATTTCCTCTCCTAGGCTGGCAAAGCGCACAGGCTAAGTGCTGAGGAGCGGGAGCAGTTGCTGCCAAACCTGAGGGCTGTGGGGTGGAACGAGCTGGAAGGCCGAGACGCCATCTTCAAGCAGTTCCATTTCAAAGACTTCAACCGGGTATGTTGCCGGGTGGGACAGAGTTTCTGAGACTGGGGCGGATGGGGTTACACTCCAGAACTTGTTCTCTCCCTTAAAGCCCTGCCACCCAAGCCCCTTCAGACGCTACCCTAGTCGGGTTGGAGTGTCACCCTTGGGGACTGGAGAGTGGGGAGATGGGTGTTGGGTTCTCCATACCCGGAACTCTTAGAGCAGCCCTCTGTCTCTCAGAGCGCTGACCTGGGTCTCACTTCACTACATAGGCTTTTGGCTTCATGACGAGGGTGGCCCTGCAGGCTGAGAAACTGGACCACCATCCTGAATGGTTTAACGTGTACAACAAGGTGAGCGATGCGTGCCTGGCCCAGTCCTGAAGGCCCTTCGCTGGCCTTCCCTAGGGACCTCCCCACCTAGAATCAACATGAACAGCCCTGCGAAATAGTCAGGCTCACTACCAATTAAAGAAGTGCAAATGAAAACACTGGTGAGAGAACAGGCGGGTAAGGTGGACAGTGAGTAGGCATCAAGAAGGCCGAACCACGGAAGGCAAGGCTGTGGGATGGGCCATATTCATGGCCCATGGCTCTAAATGGCGTAACCCCTCCTGGAGGTGCGGCGTGGAGGAGTGAAAAAGTCGTCACCTGAGCTGAGAATAGCACGCACAGCGAACAGCTCGGACCCCAGGCCAGGGCCACCACGGGAGGGGGTGCAGTGTTGCTAGAGACGCGGGAAGGCTGCCCCCCAGGCCAGAGCGTGGAGACCGGCTGCTACCCTGGAGCGCTCGGTGTGGCCGATCCGCACAGCGGTGACCCTCTCCTGCTCGGGGCCCGAATCTCTGATTTTGTTCCAGGTCCACATCACCCTGAGCACCCACGAGTGTGCCGGCCTTTCGGAACGGGACATAAACCTGGCCAGCTTCATCGAACAAGTAGCAGTGTCCATGACCTAGGCCCTACCCTTCCTCTGTGAATTCTTCAGGGGAAGGGGGTGACTGAATCGGAAATCCAGGGAGGGAACCGGGGAGCCCTGAGATGTTACTGCAGCCAGAACGGCCAAGTGGACCCTGCCGCCTCCGGCTAGGGGGAGTCCTTGCTGTGGAAGATGTCCGCATCACCGCCGACCTTTCCTCTTCTTCTTCCCAGGCTGTGTCCTGCTCCCTTTCTAATTCTTTTCCCAGGAAGCTGTGTCTAAGATGCACCAAGTCTTATCTTAGAAACCGGGACCCTGAAGTCAAACCCACCATATGTGACAGAAGCACCCGCGCTTTGACGCCTCAAATAAAACTCGTGTTTCACTTGGTCTCAGGCTCTAGAACCTTCCTTTCCACAGGTCAGTCCAAATTGGAGTCTACAGGCATTTAAAGCACTTACTCTGTGGGAGGCACTGTTCAAGGCACTGCGGGGGGGCGGGGGGGACGGAGTGGGACCAGACCACCCTGTCTTCATGTAAGGGAATTAAGCAGGAAGCAGTAACTACCAGTAGGCAGGATGAATGAAGTCAATGCTAGAGGCAAGGGTAAGAAATGAGCTACGGGAACATGAAGTGATTGACAAGGGTAAGTCTGGACGCTCCACTGACTTGTGCCTCGAAGACCTGAATGGGATTCTTTTTTTTTTTTTTTTTAAAGATTTTATTTATTTATTCATGAGAGACAGAGAGAGAGAGGCAGAGGGAGAAGCAGGCTCCCAAGGACAGGGAGCCCGATGTGGGACTCGATCCCAGGACCCTGGGATCATGACCTGAGCCGAAGGCAGACGCTTAACCATCTGAGCCACCCAGGCACCCCCTGAATGGGATTCTTGAGGCAGGGGTGGCCGAAGTGGCACCATGACTAAAAGAAAAGGTTTGCAGGACACTTGTACTTATGCATGGTGGGATCTACGACTGGGAAGGCAGTCTGCAGCTGGGTTATGTTCTTCCTGGTCTACAACATCCCAGGGGAGATTTCTAATCCTGATAGTGTCTTGTGGTTTCTTAGAGACTTAGCCAGAGTCTCAAGCCTTGCCCGCTTTTACTGTGTAAGGGAGAGGACAAAAATCCTAGCTTAGGAAGGGACAGGCTACTTCCCATCTGAGCAGTTATGGAGTGGATTCCTACAACTCAGTCCGCCAACCTAGTAACTCTAGGATAGACTGTTCCCACTAATGTGCTGTGATTGGGAGAAGTGGGGCGGGGGGTGCACAGAGCACAGTCTCCTCTCTCCCCAGTGCAAGCCACGTGGATGGCAGTCCGCAAATGCCATGATGCAGGATTGTGGGAAGCCCTTCTCCTGATGGGTTCTCATCCAAGAACCCCTAGCCTGAAGCTGCCTGCGTTCTAAGCTGACTTGCAAATGCCAGGGTTCCTTGGAGCAGACATTTAGCAATGTCACAACCCAGTCACCCTGGATGAGTTCGTCCTACAAGGGCCAGAAAAGAGGCAGAGGTCGGCATCCGAGAAATAAGCCCATTGTTGGTAGAGGTACCAGTAGGATCTGAGACTTAACAGTACCAATGTCAATGGCAGGTTCTCAGAAAACTTAATAATCAAAACCAATGAGATTCTGATGGTGGTCCCCCATCTGCTCCACTTCTGAGTTCCCTTTTCCTAAGTGTGCTTTGATCTGACAACTGTGGATTAGGGGACAGAAGCCACCAGACAAGGAGGTACGGAGCATGTGTTAGGTCACCGTCCCACCTCTGCTTACCCATGGATCAGGGGTTGAAAGGCGCCAACCTAGAGGACGCTCCAGTTCTATGAAAGACTGATGTGGGACAAAGACATAAGTGATACTTTTTCAGAAACAAATGTTTATTCTACAATTTGTGCAAATAACTGACGTCACAGGGGAAGATGTTAAGGACAGATTATGAAAAAGAAAGCCCAAGAAAAAGGATGGCAATTAGGACTCCAACTTGAGAAAAGGCTCGCAAACGCTGACTTCTGCTGACCCAGGCTGTAGTTGGTGGCTGTCCAGTCAGGCCTGTCACTACCTCTCCACTGCCGCGTCTGGCTGCAGGTGGCTCGCTGCTACCAAGAACCCTCAGAGAAGGCAAAGGGGTTCACCGTGGTTACGCAGCAGGTGCAAGCATCCAAACACCAATTCTTGGATGGAGGGGGCCAGGCCTCCTAACCAAGCATATCCTGGCCTCATCCTCTAGGGTTAACCCCAAAGCAAGTAGGTGCTCAGGAAACCAAGTCATTTAGCAGAAAAGCAGCAAAGACGGCATTCCTTGGCTTGATTCCGGCAAAGTCCAAACGGGTTGAAAAGCTGGGTTACCTGAGTGACAGGCTCCAGGCCCTCTGGAAGGACTTCTCACTTCTTACTTGTAATGGAATAAGATGCCCAGCGGTTATATGTGCAGAGCTATTCTAAGGGGTTCCATCCACTCCCAAACCACTGAAGCCAGTGCCCAGCTGGCTGGAGCCCACCGTGGAGGGCTCAATCCATCATTAACGTATAGGCAGAAATAGATGGTGAAGAGGACAGAAAACACAAGCTGGGCCCGGGCCCTGGGGAACTAAAGACCTGAGTTCCAGCCTCCTTAAAGCAGACATGACCAGCACTCCTGGGGAAACCTCCCGTGGAGGTGCTCTCGCCCACAGACAGCTAGCGCCCTGAATCTCCGTGACCACACACAACCCTTTCACCACAAGGGGGCGATCTCCCACCGGCCGCCAGTTCTCCAGCGGCCACCACCCCACCCGGGATCTCGGGCTACCCCTACAGAAGCAAATGAATGCAACCAGCCACGTCGGTTAAGATTTCGGTCATTTAATTACTGAGTTGCTTTTTAAGATATTATTGCTGCAATTAGGAAGGGAGCACTGAGCTGGGAAGAAAGAGGTTAAATACAGAAAAGATTTAAAAGAGGCAAGTACCATTTTCCAAGTATAAAACCGGTAATATTAAAAGTGACATGGCAGGAGGGTCACGCGGCTGCTTACTCCGTGTAGAAACCAGAAGCTACAGTTTCTGCAGAGGCCCATGTGACATCCGCTAGCAACATGACACCTGAAGACACTGTGCCCGCCTCTGCCAGACTAGGTGTTCCTAGGCGCATAGACTGGAAAGCCCACAAGTGTCAGGCAAACTAAGGCTCGTGCTATGAAGTGGCTACAGGAGGTCCCTTTGAAAAACACCACTGCCCCTGGGGCAGCAGAGGAAGGGCCCGCAGACGCTGGGAGCAACAGCATGCTCTGTCAGGCACAGGCTTCTCCATTTTCGCAGCTGACAAACCACAGTGGTGCCGGCGGGGTGGTTCGGGTCCCGGGTCTTCCTCCAGCACCACGAACGCGCCGGAGACCCAGGAGCCCCGGCGCACAGCTCTGGCCGCAGCAACTCTCTCGGGAGGTGCCCCCAGTTCAGCGACGGGAAGGAACTCGGCTCCCGTGTCCAAAGGATCTTAGCGTCTCCCTCTAACATGCTCGCGTGCACGTGCACACACACACACACACACACACACACTCCAGCCCTGCGATGACACGGCCAGCTCGTCACAGTTATCGTGGAGGAAGTACAGTGCCAGAGGCCACTTCAGACAAACGTGCCACGGAGCCCGGGGGAGAGTCTGGTGGTCCTGGCTCTCCCGGCCGTCATTCCCAGTGAGGGAGGCCAGAGGACAGCAGCCTGAAGAGGCTGAATGGTTCAGGAGTCCCTGAGAAGGGGATTGGAACAGAGGCTATTTTCTCCTGACTTCTCCTAAAGTCCTCCCCCACCCAAATAAAAGCTCAAAGACTGACCCACTTCCCCGAGGGCCTGGGTCAGGAGTAGCCCTCCACCGCTCTCTGCTGAGGAAAAAAGGCACGGTATGTCGTCTTCAGAGGAAGACAGTGGCTCCACCTAGATCAGGGCCCTGTGCAAGGGTGAGGAGGGTGGGGAGTGGGCACAGGGTTTGGTCCTGTCCCTGCACCACCCTGAGCAACTAGTCTTAGGAAGGAATCCCAGGCCCCAGGCCCCAACAGTTGCCATCATGCTTTCCTAGTCCAAAGTTAGCCGGGCCTGAGAAGTATCCAGTACCTGAGGCTAAATTGCCATAGTACCTTTGGGAGCTGAACAGACGGAAAGAGGCAGGAGGGACACACGAACGGGGAGAAGTTTCCTTGCCTTGGAGGCTCTCTCACGTGCTCCATGCACCCACCTAGGGTAAGTCAAGGCAACTTGTGAAGGTGCTCTGAGCTGTTCCTTCAAGCAAACATATTCTCAGACGAGATGGCTTACAGCAGTGGGTGAGAGGAGGACCACCACCAACTCTGGGGACATGTATTCCAATGCGACCCTCAGAGAACTTGAGAAAAGGCTCTGGTTTCCGATCCTCAGCAGCCCAGGAAGAGGGTTCGGCTGTGCTCCCAATGCTGCCGATGCAGACAGGAAGCACCAGGGCCAGAAAGGCCTAGGCTCTCTGGAAACCACGTTCTCTTCCTAATCCAGGGGAACAGCAACAAACCAATGGGAGCACGAGTTCAAACACAAATCTCCAAAGATGGTGGCCACCAAGTATCAAGTGGGGACAGCAGAGGGCCACTCCAAAGCCTGCCTTGATAGACTGAGCAGATACGCTCAGCCATTCTAATCCCGAAAAAGAGGAACAACGGCCTGTCCATCTGTCTCCTGGAAAAAGAAACTGAGCTGCACTATGTGACTCTGCGAGACAACTCACCTACTCAAAGAGGAGGCTGAGAAGGCGTCGTGCTTAGAGGGTACCTAACTCCCACCCGGGGAAACATCTTCCGATCTGCCTTGCCAATCTGCCTGAGAGAACGAAGAAAACCTTCTTTATCAGAGAAATCACCCCCAGGCTCCGTAAGGACTCGGGACCGGTCAGAGCTGCCACACAATGATTAAGTGAAGTTGAAAGCTAGAAGGTTAGAGAAGGAAATGGCTAAAACAATCCCTAGGGTAACATTTGAGAACAAGGGCAAAATAATTAGGTAATGAACTCCTTCAGGGTCTCCACATTAAAGACCACAGAAGGATGACAAGAGGAGGAACAAGAATCCTGAGGATCAAGCCGTCTCATGGTCTGTCTCGTCGTGCTCCATGGAGCAAGACCAGATGCTGAAACTGTGCGTGGCCTGTTCCACTCCCCGAGAACCCTCTGAAGGCCAGGAGCCCCTCGGGGCCACAGAGGGTCCAGGCTCAGCGGGGTTTTGGAGAACCATTCATCTGGCTGCTCTGAGTTACAGTGTCAGTGCTGAAAAGGCTGTCCAAGAAGACTGAGGACAATTCTGCGACCAGGTTCCTGTCGACGGTCGTCTGGGCCATGCCGTAGATCGCACCCTACAAATCCAGTCAGAGAGCATTACTGGCAATGAGGCGTATGGGGGTGGAGATGAAGCTGCGGCTCCGATCCCGCCCATCCCCCCGCCCCCGCCTTCCATGTCTGCTCCCCTCCATGTCCGCTCCCCTCCCCGGCTGCATGCCCACACCAGACAGCTCTTCACAGGTACTTGCCAGTCTGCCTTTCAGCCCAAAGGAACTGGCCTATGGGATTTGCCATAGAAAATTCCAGAGAAAACAGGCTTATTGTCTTTCCTATGTCAGCATTTTCTGTTCAAAGGGACAGGACCACCCCGTGCCTTTGTATGACACATTCAAATTTACAAGGTGCTTTATATACAGCACACCTCACTTGACACCAAAGAGCCTGCGAACGGGGGAGGCAGAGGTCCTCAGCTCCAGGGAATAAGGTCTGTGGAGACGGGACAGAGGCAGGACCAGACTCGAGGTCACCTGGTTCTTCCAAACCCCCCCCAACACCTGAACTTCCACAAGAAGAAAAAAATCCCAAGTGTCCCTACCATTCCTGTGGTCTTTGCTTTAGGATTCTTCATGATTTGAGTGACAGACTCCCGGATGTCCTTCAGGAACTGCACGGCTATTCGCTTCCGGGTGTGTACTAGCGTGATGCAGAAATGAATACTGTGGGAGAAGAGAGACAGGCAGAGATGAACCTTGGGGAAAGAAAACAAAGTGCTAAAATAAAGAAGCCCCATGTCACATACTGGAATTTACCGCTCGCTTCTTCGTGTTATTTGTGACAAGTGTTCCCAGTCCTGGGAATCGGGGCTCTCAAATACACGGCTGTCAAGCATGGGCCGGCATGTGGGTTTCATGCCTCCGCGCGAGCAACATCCTGACTGAAGGGAGTACGGCTGCCTGTTCTGTCCCACCCCTCCCCTCAAAAACTGTCAAATGCTATGCCTTCAGTCACGGGACCACCAAGGGGATGCTCTCCTTGTAGACAATAAACCCTCATGGGCACAGGGCCCCAGGGGTCTTGAAGGACTTCAAGGCACAGAAGAAACTCTCACGCCCCCTAGAGGGAGACTGAGGTACAGAGGGATCGTGCAGAGGAAGAAGCTGAGCCCAGGTGGGACTGGCAAGAGCACCAGGAAGTGAAAGGATTGGGGTGCACGGAGGGCACCGGGGGGACCTCTGCCATCAGGGTGTGGTGTTTATTTACAGACATCGTGGGAGATGAGATGAAAGAAGCATATGACAGGACAGGGCAGCGGGCCTGAATGATGAGAGGCCCTGTGGAGGGTTCTGAGCTAAGTATGACTCAGGTCACGAGTCCGTCGGCAAGAGCAATCTGATGGCGGTGTGCGAGATAGGGCGGGGAGTACACAGCCCAGGAAGTGGGCAGGGGCAGCAGTGGAGGGGCTCGTGACCGACCACTGGTCTCCAGAGTTGTAAAGCTCATCGTCTCGTCCTTGATACTGAGTAATGCCAGGTGGCGAGACAAAATCGCACGGATACTCTGTCGGCCCTGGAGCGCTGGCCTCACTGTCAGTCTCTAGGCTTCGGGTCACCCTGCTACCCGAGTTGTTGCGAAGTCACAGAGCACAGTGAGGGCAGGAGGCTCCTCGGGCTTACCTGGGTGGGAACTGCAGCTGGTTCAGGTTCCAGCCCTTGGCAGTCATCAGGTTAAACAGTCGGTAGATGTCAAAATCTCGGGAGCCCAGAGCAATGACTGACAACTGGGGATTCCCAAAAACAAAGATGCCTTTGATATTTTCCAGTCTTAAAACAAACAAAGAAGAGAATAGAAAGGAAATTTCAGCCACATATACTCCTCGGGCCATCATCTCTTTCATCATGCAAACGTCTCCCCTGTAACACAATCTAATCTTTTAGGGCTTCAACTCGCTCACCTTCTAAAATCAGGCAGCAAGACTGAGATCAGTGGTTCCCAAACATTACAAATACTCAAACGCCCAAACCCCACTGAGCTCCAATGAGAGAACCACTGGCTCCTACGCTGTATGCCCAACTCCCAAATTGTGATGTGCCCCAGGGGCATCTGAGGCATAAAGATGCACTTAAAAAAAATCCTGGCAAAATAACCCCTCCATCTCTTCAATTTAAAAAGTCATATATATAATCCCTAAAGCAAGAAATGGTAGAACAGTTCACAACAGATGGGTCTATCGGCTGGGTTTATGCAGGCTTTTTTCGAATGAGACATGCCTACTGGCCGAAAGCTTTCACTCACCCTCCAGATTCTGAAAAAGCCTCCCCAGTGTGGATGAGCCATAGAGATAGGCAGGGGGCACATGAATAGGTGGGTCAGACAAACGTGCAGCCTCGTTCTAGCCTCATCTCACCCTCGGTCTCCCCCCTCCCATCCCCCGTTCCCTCTGCCTCATCTCCGATACTGTTCCACCAGCGACTCCCCGAGTGTGAGCCCTAGACCCGCAGCTTCAGTATCCACTGGGAGCTTCCCAGAAACGCAAGTCCTCAGACTCCCACTCCAGATGGACGGAATGAGAATCCTGGGAGTGGGGCCCAGCAACCTGTGTCTTGACAGGTCCTCCCGATGATTAAGATGCGTGCTCAAGTGTGAGAACCGCAGTCTAAAGCATGACACTGCAGTGTATGGGCACTTGGTAAGAGCTGCCAGTCGTGAAGACATGCTTTGAGACACGATGGCCCACAGGTGAAGCCTGGGTCTGACCCTCCAAGTCCCAGCAGAGCCAGGGAGCTACTCCTCCCAGGCCGGCGCCACACTCCTAAGCTGCTGTCCTAAGCCCCTGGTCGCTAGGGGATGCGGGATGGGCTGGGAGCTATGGGTGCTGGCCAGGCAGATGCCTCGGGCCTATGAGCAGACAAAGCAAGAGACGAGGCGGATCCCCAATCCTCCACACATACTCTGACTTGAGGAAGCGAGTGGTTTTGATGATCTGTTTCGTGGCCTCAACATAGCCGCTCTCACCAAAGTGCATCAGGGCAGCCCAACAGGCCGCGCTGATGCCTCCGGGCCGGGAGCCCGCGATGGTCGGGGAGGCGTAGATGCCGCCCTGCCAGTCTGTCGCCACGAAGAACTGATGGCTCCTGTACTTCTTCTCACTGTAGAGCAGCACGGAGGAGCCTTTGGGGGCGTAGCCGTACTGAGGGGAGAAGCGCACAGGTGAGCGCCGCAAGCTCCTCGCGCACACGTCTCCTCCACGGGCCCGTTTCCCACCGCGTCCCACTCGCACCAACAACCCACACTCAGAGCGTTACGGGTGGAGGGCGCTGCGGGGACGGGGCTGAAATGCCCTCTGGGAGGGCCGAGGCGTCTGGGGGCCCCTCACCCAGCACGTGGCTTCTCTATGTAAACAGCACCCCAGGGTGGTGCGGCACGGTGGAAGCAAAGATAAATTTCCACTGGCAACCGGGGAAAAGGGTAGAAGTCATGTCACCTGGAGCAACTGAAATCACGAGCTGACTCCCTTCCCATCTCTTTTATACTTCCTTTTTTAAGAACATCACAGTGTTCAGCATCTAGAAGCTACTGAATCCAGCCTAAAAACAACCTGCGTACTTGGTTTCCTTACAGAAATGTGCCCTCCTAGTGAACTCCCGCTGCCGCAAACATGGAGCCAGCCTCACTCCCTGACCCACAGCGGGAGAGATGGTAAGGAGGAGGGCACGGGGGTCGCCTGGGTGCAAGGCGAAACCAAATCAGATCCCGATGGAAGATTCGCGGGCATCACGTAAGAGTCTGAAAAACAGGTCTCCACTATGCTTGAGATGAAGACAAGCTCTGCGAGTGTCTTCAGCACAGAGCACATATTCCTGAGGCTGCTGCTTCTCCCACATCTGCATGTAGCTGCAAAGCCATCCCGGCCACCAGGGGTGGGGGCATCCGAACATTCCTGAGCACGCAGTTCTGCCCTCTCTCCAAAGGACTCTTCCCTTAGCTGGCTCCTGTCATGTGGGGCAGCACCCCCGTGGTGTGAGAGCTCAGCACCAGCATACCTCCTCCTCCCAGGAATCCCACTATCAACTTCATCGCTACCCTCCACCCCAGAGAATCTCAGAGCTTCAGGGAACAATTTTCTAGGGGCCCCTGTCCTGGCACATCCCAGCTACATACAGTCAGTGGATGCAGAAATTTTCTGAGCCACATGCCACAAATAGGTCCCTTTGCACGATTATGTGTCACCTCTAGCACCCTACTTTGTCACCTGAACCAGCTACGCGGGTGAGAGCAAAGAGCCAGATTTAATTTTACATTCTGGGCGGAAGTTAATGCTTTAACCAATTTACTTTCTTGATAGTAGTCGAAATAATCAGGTGCCTCCTTTGATTAACATTTGGTCCCTTGCCTGTCTCACCTTGTGGGTATCAGCTGAAATGCTGGTCACACCTTTCACCCGGAAATCAAATGGTTGCTCCAGTGGGTATCCTGCTTTCTCCATAAAGACGATGAGGAAGCCCCCCAGACAAGCATCTACATGAAGAGGTATTTTGTACTTGACAGCCAGCTAGTTCAAAAAACAAAGACCACAAGAGAATTTCATTTATAGCCATGTAACAAAGACTCTGCAAGACACAGGTGGAAAGGTGCGCTGCAACCACGAGGCCACTCTGTAATGCATCTTTCAGGCTTTAAAAAACGGGCTAGTTTCCACATGCCTAGTAAAGCTCATCTGTCAAATGTATTTAGGCTTCAAAATAATTCCTCTGAAATGTGGTATTTTATCTTTAAATACGCAGGGCCTCAACCTGACTATAAAATCAAGCAGGAACCGAGCAGCCCTCTGATGCAGGGGGAGAGTCCTGCTTTACTTAGTAATGCAGGGTGGGGAGGAGGGGGCGCTGGGCGGGTGGCGCTGTTGGATGCCACCCTCTGGTAGGCAGGCTCCTACATGCAGCTCATTTCCCCGGCTGAGTCCAAATGCCAGTACTCTTTCAGAATACCCAGTTTCCACAAAGTCTTCTTCCCACAGCAGAAGCCAGTAACTTTCTCAGGCTCCAAACAGAGCCGCAGGGCTTCCTATGGGGCTCAGGAAATTTGTGCACAAATCTGAACTCAGACTTGCATCTCCTTGCCGAGTACCGCACCATTAGGTTCGATTTTCAAATCTCAACTTAAGTGCCTGGCAGCCCACTTCTCCCGTGTACCTTGGCCACTTCAGGGACAGGATCGATGACACCATGAGGAAACTGGGGGGTAGAACAGACGAGCATGGCCGTGTTCCTGGAGATGGCTCTCCTCATTGCCTAGGGGTTTAAAGGTGAAAGGAAAATGAGAAGCCACGTCAGAATGCCAAGAGCACTCCGGGCCCCCAGCTCAGGGTCTGCGCTCCTCTAGCCCACCTCCTCTGTCTCTCCGACCCAGGAGAAGACAGCCCCCCGCCACGGCGGCCGCACAGACACGGCCAGAGGGCTCCAGCCGGGGGACAGTCTGCGGCCACAACACGGCAAATCACTGTGGGAGGAAAAACGGCATCGGGCCAAGAGGCAGATGAGCCTGTGCGAGTCCCAGTCCCACTCACGAGTGTGGAAACCTGGGGCAAACGATTTAACTCCACCCGGACTGTTTCCTCACCCGTGCACTGCAAAAGGACTGACAGTTTCTCCAGCCTCCCTGGGCTGTCACAAGGCTCAGATGCAATTCTTACAGCATCCCGACGCTGGAGAGTTCTCCACACAGGCATGGCATAAAAATAACGACTAAAGGACTACTACTAGGTCTTCAAAAAAGAGAGCCTGCCATGTGTGACAGCATGGATGAACCTGGAGGACACTCTGCTGAGTGCCGTAAGCCAGGGCCAGAGACACAAATGCTGCATGACCTCACATACACGGCACCCACGACAGTCACACTCAGAAGCAGAGAGTAGAGTGGCGGTTGCCGGGGGCCGGAGGATGAGGGGCACCAAGTTTCGGTGACGCCTGACAGGAAGTTCTGGACCGCTCGCGGACGGCCGTGTGACCATGCATAACGATACCGCACCGTGTGCCTGAAATCAGCCAGCGGTCCAGAGAGGAGCCCTATGTATTCTAACCCAGAAAAAAGGAAAATGACAGAAGATGGTAACTATTTGAGGGGATGGAATACACTCAATAGTGTGACTGTGGTGATTCGTCTGCGTATTCGTCTATCACTGTGTACAAGTGTCATCGGAATATCAAGCTGGGACCACAGATATGTACAATTTTTTTTGTCAACTGTCAGTGTATCAATAAAGACGGCAGGCAGCAATAACGCTAGTGCTAAGAAACTGGGCAGTTTAGTTCTGAAAAGATACAGTTACTGTTATACTGGCGAGGATATGGATGCGGGCTCATGAAAACCGCAGGGAGAGTCCTGGGGCAAGTCAGCCCGTGCTCTTTTTACAGAGAGGAGAAAGCCACGTTGCTGCAGCAAAACCCAGGTCAGCGAAGCCTCAAGTCAGGGGCTGGATCGTCTCTGCTATCAGAGCTCATGAATCTATGAAAACGCTGAGCCGCACTCCATCACCACGGCCGGTGGCAGCTCGGCAGCTCGGCAGCGCCGGCGCCTGGAGCCCAAGGCCTTTGGAGCCTCTCTGCACGCAATGCTGGAAAACACCAGTCAGTCAGGTGCGTCCCTGCTCCTCACGGTCCATGGCACGAAATGGCCCTTCAGGGGAACTCACCCGAACATCCACCTCCATCATTTTGTTCAGCGGAACCCGTATAATCTTCATCCCAAAATAATTGGCTGCTTTGTCAAATGCAGCATGGGCACTTTGGGGGGCCACACTAAATGACAGAGAAGAGAGTAATGAAATTCCGATAAAAGCAGGGCTCAAGAGAGAGCCTAGTTAGCAGCTCATCTACGTCACCAGGAGTAAACGTCTCAATGTTTTTCCTCACGTTTTTACAAGTGTTTATATTGTTTTACTTTTCTTTTTAAGCAGAAAGAAAAAGAGGTCAACTGATTTTCTATAGAAATCTTCTCCCTCTGGTTTAGGAAATCCAAAGCATAAAGCAGGGCTGACAGGCAGGAGACGAGGGACTGGGAATTTGGATCAGATTGGCATCAGGCAGAGCCTTCTCATGTTGGCCATCCAAAGCCAGGGAGCCGTTGGTGGGGGTACGCTGACATGACACATGGCCAAGCAGGAACCTAAGTCTGCTTGTATCAGGGTCAGTGGTTCCTTCCAGCTCTGAAAGCCCACAAGCCTGTGAGAAACTAATTCCCATTGTTCCTACATACTGAGAAGCAGCACTTCAAACAGTACTGAAATGGGGGCGCCTGGCTGGCTCGGCTCAGTCAGTAGAGCCTGTGACTCTTGATCTTGGTGTTATGAGTGCAAGGCCCACGCTGGGCGTAGAGCTTACTTAAAAAAACAAAAAAAAGACAAATAGCACTGAAAAGGAGACTAAGTCATGGTTAAGTATTTGCTTTCAGACTTCGCTCAATTACTGCACTCTCAAAATCAATGTGTTCCCTTTAAGGAAGGAAAGACTATTACTGAGTACGAAGCACTAAGATTCATGTATGGAGAAAGATGGCAGCCTGATTTATTCTCTTCGGCTGCACAGCATGAGATCACATGCAACCCTTAGTCACTGATACTTGTGGGAAAACAGTAACCCAGAGGATGTAGTATAAACACTCTGGGCAAAGAGAGGGTCTAGAAAAAAAAAAAATGCAGCCAAATATCAAAGTTATGTCTATGGGGTGACATTATGGATAAATCTCAGAAAGATTTTAAAAATTTCTCCTCCCAGGGGCGCCTGGGTGGCTTAGTCATTAGGCGTCTGCCTTCGGCTCAGGTCATAATTCCAGGGTGCCCTGCTCCGTGGGAAACCTACTTCTCCCTCTCCCACTCCCCCTGCTTGTGTTCCCTCTCTCACGGTCTCTCTGTCAAATGAATAAATAAAATCTTTAAAGAAAAATTTTTTTTTCTCCTCCCAGAAAACAGCCCTCAGGCTGAAATTTTCTTAGGAAGCACTTTGAGGCAGCCTATTATATTTAAGTAACTTTCCCTGAATTTAAGGGATTATTAGAGAGTTTTCCTTAGGCTCCAGATTATTTATAATAAATATCACAAAATTCAAAGATGTAGTCCTGTTCAACCTGTCACTTTTAGGAAAAGGATCTCATTCTTGCTTTCAGTATATACCACGTATAAACTTGGGGGTTGGGAAAGGGAATGACCTTTAAAATTAACTGGCTGATCCACTTAGGATTCTGTGGAATGTGAAGGGATAAGGGTCCAGGGCGCAGGACAGGAAGAATGAGGACTGAACTGCCAGAGGAAGAGGGAAGAGAAGTAGAAAACAGATGGTCAGGTTGTTTCCAACCGCAGTACTCCAAACAGATAAATCCAAAAGAAACACATACATACATTTCTGGAGTTTTGATCCCATTCTCAAAGGCCAGGTCCCGGTAAGCCTTGCAGGCCATCAGTATGCTTTCTGTTCCCCCCGAGGTCACCTGTAATAAAGAAGCGATGTGACCCATGCAGTGCAGTGAGGCCCGCTGTCAGCATGCACGGCCCACCTTATCTCGGTGGTGCCTGACGCAGCAGCAGGTAACGTCTGCGAGGCACTCGGCAGAGCACACATGGCCATGTCTTCCGGATGGAAATGGGGCTTCATCGGCTAAGCGCATTCTTGGTTCAGAAGAGTAAAAACTACCAAATAAGAAGGCGCAGAATCTCTACACCGTATGGAAAAACGCACCACCTGCCCAGATGTCACCAGCGCGCCGCCCGTTCACACTTCTGCTGCTGGTCCAGTTGCAGAGAGGACAGAGCATTTTACACTGCTCAAGAGCATCAGGACCATAGACTTGGATTTAAGTTTCCAATGCCCGCTGCAGAATGAACTGCAGTTATAAGTCTAGTAAACTACGCGATACCTCAGCAGATCAAGAAGTTTAGACATTCCAAAGTGAACTGTGGTTTTGACAAGTTTGAAAAAGAAAAGCAGAGGCCTCTACTTACAAGTTGGTTATCTCACTTATCTGAAATCAAAACAAAGATCGTTGCGTTTTTAAACGAAGTAAAACGTTTTCCTGAAGCTAGGCCTAGCCCTCCTCGGTTATAGGTGAACGTCTTTTTTTTTCTTAAGATTTTATTTATTCATTTGACAGAGAGCACAAGTAGGCAGAGAGGCAGGCAGAGGGAGAGGGAGAAGCAGGATCTCCACCGAGCAGGGAGCCAGACGTGGGGCTCGATCCCAGGACCCCGGGATCATGACCCGAGCCAAAGGCAGCCGCTTAACGGACTGAGCCACCCAGGCACCCCTAGGGGAACTTCTTTATCAGAGTTGAAACCTAAATACTCAAAGGTCATGTCACGCATCCAATTTCCCTCATGAGACTATAAACTCATGACGGTGGGGACCAATCCGTTCATGACAATATTCCAAGCGCCCAGCCTGAAGGCTGACACTTAAGAGAACCTCAACTAACATTTCTCAAAGCCTGATCTGACTCTCAGTAAACCATGACCAACATGGGCACATCATACCCGTTAGGCTATCTTTTGATGACATCTAAGAATGAATCATTTCAGGTGCGTCTGGGTGGCTCAGTTGGTTAAGCATCCAACTCTTGATTTCAGCTCAGGTCATGATCTCAGGGTTTTAAGATCAAGCCCCACATCAGGCTCTGAGCTCAGTGGAAGTCCGCTTGAGATTCTCTCTCGCCCTCTGCCCTTCTCCCCCACCTCTTTCTCTCTGAAATGAATAAATAAATTTTAAAAGAACAAAAAAAGTATCATTTCAAAACAAACCAAAAAAGCCACAGCACTGAGCTACGTGGTTATTTTCTTAGATTTCTCATCTCCAAAGATTCCTAGAAGCTTAGATACCTTTTTTCATTGTACAGGTGAGAAAACTGAGCCCCTAAGAAGACTAAAATAATTCACCCAATGCCATCCATTAGTATCAGCTGATAAAAAGTAAAACTTTGCAGCAGCAGCTTCTTGCTAGACACATCGCCAAAGGCAAGGGAAGCAAGGGCAAAAATGAACTGTTGGGACTTCATCAAGATAAACAGCTTTTGCACAGCAAAGACATGGTCAATAAAACCAAAAGGCAACCAACAGAATGGGAGAAGATATTTGTAAATGACATACCGGATAAAGGGCTAGTACCCAAAATCTATAAAGAACTTATCAAACTCAACACCCAAAGAACAAATAATCCAATCAAGAAATGAGCAGACAACATGAACAGCCATTTCTCCAAAGACGACATCCAAATGACCAACAGACACATGAAAAAATGCTCAACATCACTTGGCATCAGGGAAATACAAATCAAAACCACAATGAGATACCACCTCACACGGGTTACAATGGCTAAAATTAACTAGTCAGGAAACGACAGATGTTGGCAAGGATGAGGAAAAAGGAAAAAACCCTCCTACACTGTTGGTGGGAATGCAAGCTGGTGCGTCCACTCTGGAAAACAGTATGGACATTCCTCAAAAAGTTGAAAATAGAGCTACCCTATGATCCAACAATTGCACTACTGGGTATTTACCCCAAAGATACAAATGTAGTGATCCAAAGGGGCACCTGAACCCCAATGTTTATAGCAGCAATGTCCACAATAGCCAAACTATGGAAAGAGCCCAGATATCCATCAACAGATAAATGAATAAAGAAGATGTGGTATATATAAATACAATGGAATATTACGCAGCCATCAAAAATTGAAATCTTGCCATATGCAACGACATAGATGGAACTAGAGGGTATTATGCTAAGCAAAATAAGTCAATCAGAGAAAGACAATTATCATATGATCTCATTAATATGTGCAATTTAATAAACAAGGCAGAGGATCACAGGGGAAGAGAGGAAAAAATGAAACAAGATGAAACCAGAGAGGGAGACAAACCATAAGAGACTCTTTTTTTTAAAGATTTTTTATTTATTTATTTGACAGAGAGAGACACAGCAAGAGAGGGAACACAAGCAGGGGGAGTGGGAGAGGGAGAAGCAGGCTCCCCATGGAGCAGGGAGCCCGATGCTGGGCTCAATCCCAGGACCCCGGGATCATGACCTGAGCCGAAGGCAGACGCTTAACGACTGAGCCACCCAGGGGCCCCCATAAGAGACTCTTAATCATCCGAAACAAACTGAGGGTTGTTGGAGGGGAGGGTGGTGGGGGGATGGGGTAACTGGGTGATGGACATTGGGGAGATTATGTGTCGTAATGAGCACTGGGTACTATATAAGACAGATGAACCACAGACCTGTACCCCTGAAACAAATAATACATTGTATGTTAATTAACTGAATTTAAACTAAAAAAGAGAAAAGAGAAAAAAAAGGAAAACTTTCTACATTTGTGCATTTGGTGGAGTTAACATAAAATGGAATTGAGAGAGAGGGATTTCTGGAATTTCCTGTAATACCCACGTAGAGGACAAAAACACCATTGGCTACAAAACCCCACTGGTCAGGAGTTACATGGAAGATTAGCTGAGAGAAGTTAGTCATACTGTGATTCAGGAAGTCTTCAAGAAACACGTGCCCATCACCCACGAAGTAATGCGCTGACTTGGGCACAGGACGCCTGCCTGTTTGTAGCCTCTGCACTTTTCTGCCAAAGATGAAAGCGCTTATAGTGGAGGTCAGCTCTGCGAATCAGCGGCTCGCCCTGTGGTCTAGCACAAAACCTCAGACTGTCACATGAGGAGCCAAACAAGCTGTGAAGCAAGTCAGGAAACGACCAGCAATGTCCAAGTCTCCAGTGTGTCAGCCTCTTACTAAGGTCCAGTAATGACCTACACAAACGGATTTCCAAACCCCTAGTCACCCAGCACACACGCTCTATTTTTAGTCCAATAACTTATCAAATCAACATCATTATTTGTTGGGCAAACAGCAGTGTACTTTTGACTGTAAAAGCAGGAATACCTAAATTCTACTTCTAATTTTTATTTCTGATCCCCAAATTCTGTGTCTAAACATGCTACTAACCTCCCACTTCCTTCTACCCTCTGCGCCCAAAGAAAAATGGATTGTGAAATCAGAAGATGAAAGCTTCAATAACTACTTGTAATGTTAGCTTCTTCCGACATTTATAAAAACTCTCGCTGTAATATATGAGAAGTATGTCAGAGAATAAGAGGAGAACATGGCCTGCTGCGAGAATTTTCTTTCAGACCCAAAGCCCTTTGCACAAGCCAAGACTGTTCCCCAGGGCAACAGAAGTTCTTTCAGTATATGAAATCACTTCTTATCCATTCTAACTGAGGCAAATGAAGTTAGTAACAGGAACAATAGTTTAGACTGAAGAACAAAGAACGAGAAGAGCTTAAGACCTTGGCTGGGAATATGCTACAGACTGCCCAGCTATGCAGCTCTGTCTTCTCATTTCCAACCTCTGAACTCCGAACTTTTTTCACCAAAAGCAGCTCATCGAGAGAGAGAGAGAGAGATGGAGAGAGACAGACTGAGAAGAGTAAGAGAAACAGAGAAACTCAAATTACCCCAGAGGTCATCACTAGTTCTCTTGTAAAAGTCTTAAGTATTAGAAAAGACTAGGGATCTCAGACTCCATCCTTCTCCCGCTCCCCAACACTGTAGCAATGCAAAAATACCCCTGGGGTTAGACTTTGGCATTCAGATGAAACACTGAACCTACCTCACAGCTACTTTCTCTCCCCTGGTACCTAAAAGAAGGAAGAAACACAATTGCAGAAAGCTGCAATAACAACCATCAAACAAGGAAACAGAGAGAATCCAATGCAATAAACTTCAAATACTGGCAATGAAAAAAAGAGACAAGTTACTAAAGCACAGAGAAAAGCAACACACAGTCCCTAATCCCTCCTCCAAGTCCTGAAAATTGTCCAGCGAGCCAGCAAAATCCTGAGGATTCTCATTAATACCCGCCAAATCTTCAGAGAAGCAAATGGAGGGGGGCTCCTTATCTTCTGCTCAGTGAGTGGTAGACATGGCAGCGAGGGAGAAACAGGAAAATGGGGAGAGAGAACATTGGGACCGACCCCTCAAAGTCAAGGCTTCAGGGATCCAGGATGGGTTAAAGAAATAATCAAAGCCCAGAGGGTCTTACTGTCTTCCAACTAGGCAGAGTAAACTCTAATAGGTAACTTTTAACAAATCTCAGAAGAAGAGACCCAGATATCCTAATACAGGTGGAACCAAGAGGCCCTCAAGCAAATGCTCCCAAATGAGAAATCAGCCAGCATGCGTCAGAACAAAATAGAATGTTCTGATGAGCATGAGCCACAGTGAAAAAAAATGGCACGGTAACTACGCAAACACACAGAAAGAAAAAAAGCAGCATGCATAATAAAAGCCTAACTCAAAAGGTAACAGTCTAAGGGGGACTGTCATCACTAGAGGACAACATGACAAGAACACGAATTGAAGAAAACAAGAGCTGAAAGACTGGACACCAAAACAAGAGAATGAGACTGCAGACCTAAAACAGAGTACCAAATGACCCTGATAAAGGATTAGTAAGGACACGAGGGGCAGAACAAACACGGCCGAGAATAAAGATCAGGACTTAGAGGAAAGGTTTAAGGCAAGTTTAGTGAACCCAGATTTAAAAAAAACAGAGACTGAAAGATCACTGCCTCTTCACACCTGTGTCCCTCTGGCTAGACACAGATAACCAAAAGGTGTTCGGAGAAGAAACATGGGCATGGTCGCCAATCTGTGAAACCGTATTCTCTAAGACTAGCTGAGTAGCCTTGGAAGAAAGTGGGGAAGAGCAGATCCAGAGGGAGAGAAGCTGTAAAGTGTACAAAGTTCACATGGAGAAAAAACAACAACAATCATGGAACTCCTATTTCTGGCAATATAGATTAGACAGCTTGGGCAGCCCACCCTCCCCTGGGAAACAACTAAAAATGCCTCGTAAAACATTGAAATTTATTTTACATCCACCACTGAGCTTATATAACATAAAGGAATATACTAATATACTGAACCCAAACAGAGCAAAACCAAGAATCCTAGCAGATAAGTGAGTGCCAAAGCTGGTTTCAACTTTGACGGTTGCTGCCGCCCCCAGAGACCACCAACCCCCACCGTGACAAATGAACAGGAGGTAAACTGAGGGCCTGCCTAAGGTGAAGAGTCTAACAGGAGACAGCTGGAGAACCTGGGACTTACACCCACATCTCAGGGGACCAAGAAATTAAACCCCACTGGTGCAGCAGAAGACAGCAAGAAAAATGGCTTTCTCAACCATGACCTGATGCTCTGGTAAAGAAAAATAAGGATCTCTCAAGAATGGCTCACAAGACAGCTTTGACGTGGGTCTGCAGTGTGAACTCATGCGCCCTCTGCAGGATGAGACTCAGATGGGTTCCCGTGTGACAGCACCTCCCAGCAAGGCCCCGGCAACTGGCAGAAATCATTACATAGCTTCCCTGCAAGAACTTCACTTCTGGGGCGCCTGGGTGGCTCAGTCGGTTCAGCGACTGCCTTCGGCTCAGGTCATGATCCTGGAGTCCCTGGATCGAGTCCCACATCGGGCTCCCTACTCGGCGGGGAGCCTGCTTCTCCCTCTGACCCTCCCCCCTCTCATGAGCTCTCTCTCTCTCTCATTCTGTCTCAAATAAATAAATAAAATCTTTAAAAAAAAAAAAAGAACTTCACTTCAATCTAGGCCTCACAGAGAAGTTCCCAGGAAGACACACACACACACAAAAAAGTCACAAATACAAGGATACAAGCCAATATGAATGAAACCAGCAGAAACAGATAGGTAAGGCTCACGAGTAACAGCATTATCAGACACAGAATATAACATAACTACGGGCAATATATTTCAGTAAACAAAACATAAGCCAAGGAAAGGAACGCTAAAGAACCACCACGCAGGGGCGCCTGGCTGGCTCAGTCGGCAGAGCATGCAACGCTCGACCTCTGGGTCTTGAGTTCGAGCCCCACTTTAGGCGTAACACTTACTTAAATAATAATAATAATAAACAAACAACTTGAGCAAAAACCTAAAAAAAAAAAAAACCATCTGGCAGATTAAGACAAAATTCTCAAGAATGAAGACTACAGTAAATGAAGTTAAAAAAAAAAAAGCCAATGGGGGCCGCCTGGGTGGCTCAGTTGGTTAAGCAACTGCCTTTGGCTCAGGTCATGATCCCAGGGTCCTGGGTTGAGCCCCGCATCGGGCTCCCTGCTCCACAGGGGGCCTGTTTCTCCTTCTCCCTCTGCCGCTCTCCTGCTCTCTGTCTGCCAAATAAATAAAATAAATAAATAAATAAAATCTTAAAAAAAAAAAAAAACCAATGGAGGAACTCAAGTGCAGAAGAGACATGGCTGGAGAGGGAACCCACGAAACCCCTCTACTCATCTCCCGGCTCCAACAATGAGCACCTCACAGCCCGTCTTTCCTCCACCTGCACACACCCCGGCTGCCACTGCTGCTGAGAACACCAGCTGTTTTCACAGCTAATTACATACCAACCAGATGCGTGGTAGCCCTTCCCATTCCAGCCCTCAGGTCTCTCAACCTCTTCTGTGCTATCTCTCTGGATGTTATTCCGGTTAATTTTGTGTAAGTCTTGTTCTATAAATTGGACTTCGGAGCCACGTAAGTATTTTACATCATTCTAAATGAAACAGGGCTCTTTGGACAAATGGCTGAGTTGGGGTCTGGAAATGCATAAGGTAAACCTGGAATATTTATTTCATCAGATAAAAATTATTTTGTCAAAAAAAAAAAAGGAAAGGAAGGAAGCTTTCAAAGACCACTCGAGTCATACAAAAGAACCCAGAGGCCCAAATTAAGAGGCTTCCACTGGTCAAACGGGCTAATGTGAGCATTAATCAGAGTAGCAGCTGCAGTGGGTTGAAGCACTTGGAGTAGTCTGTAATTTTCCACCCCACTGTTGACTGACATTTGAATTACTTCCAGTTTTCAATACCACGGACAATGCTGCTATGAATATCCATCTATCCTGATACACACGTGCCAGTTTTTCTAGGGTATACCCTGAGTAGTGAAATTTCAGGGTCATGAGATACCTGTTTCTTCAACTTACCTAGATGAGGCCAAATTGTTTTGGGGCTGCTTAACTGATGGTCTCTTAAAAGTTCACAGAGTCTATGGGCGCCTGGGTGGCTCAGTCGGTTAAGCGACTGCCTTCGGCTCAGGTCATGATCCTGGAGTCCCGGGATCGAGTCCCGCATCGGGCTCCCTGCTCAGCGGGGAGTCTGCTTCTCCCTCTGACCCTCCTCCCTCTCGTGCTCTCTGTCTCTCATTCTCTCTCTCGCAAATAAATAAATAAAATCTTAAAAAAAAAAAAGTTCACAGAGTCTATAGCGCAGGAGAATACCTACGTACTGTAAGTATACTGGATGGATCAAAGAGGGAGGGGGAGAAAGAAAGCAGCAGACACAGCAGATGTGCAAAATATTTAGTTACTGAATGCAGGGTTTTGTCTATTCTAGCAACTTCATGTTTTAAAATACATGGGGCGCCTGAGTGGCTCAGATGGTTAAGCGTCTGCCTTCAGCTCAGGTCGTGATCCCAGGGTCCTGGGATCGAGCCCCGCATCGGGCTCCCTGCTCAGTGGGGAGCCTGCTTCTCCCTCTGCCTCTGCCTCTCTCTCTCTCTCTCTGATTCTCATGAATAAATAAATAAAACATTTTTAAAAAGTGTAAAAAAAATGTTTTAAAATACAAAACGGAAGAAAAAAATATCTTAAAAAATATACAATAAAATGTTGATGCTCTAAAAATTCCAAAAGTTAACACTTTTACATTGCTGTTAATCTGGATCTTCCTACCAATAATCACATATTACTTGTGTAACAAAATGTTTTCAAGAAACTCTTCTATTTTAAGCGAAACACATAGGCCACCTGCATCTACTTACACATCCACAGGAATCTGGCCCCCCACTGAACAGGGAACAAGCTATCCTCACAATCTCCGCCTCGATCTTTCGCAGTCCCGGGAAGATGTCTGGATGCAGTGGGTTACTCCATGCAAAATCTCCATAAGCCTGCAAAGAAATGCACGCAGATATGAAGTAGAACGAATAAATACACTGTATGGGACAAAGAATCATGCACTAGACAGAAGTTTCTAGGTACCAGGCACAACACTAGAAACTGGAAAAATGGTAAGATATGTGTTCCCCTCTAAAAAAGATCAAAATACAGTGGAAGAGAGAGACATGCAAATAAATTATTTTACAGTGTGGTGAGAGAGGAAGTATAAATGTGGTTAAAAAGCACATACTAAAACAACAAACAGACCCAGTTTGCAATCTTAGCTTTGCCTATTACTTCTCGCTGTGTAATCTTAGGTCAAAAAACTCTCTGAGGTTCAGTGTCCTCATGTGCTCAAGGGGATAATCATGGTACCTACCTGATAGGGTTCTAGCGCTAAGTAAATAACATAAGGCATGCCAAGTCCTTAGGAGAGCATCCGGCACAAAGGAGCTATTGTTCTGAGTGTGATACCAGAAGTATGCAAGTGATGGAAGGAGCCCTAAGGAGGGAATAACAAACAGCCCGACAGGTCTGATGTCTGTACAGGCAGAACCCTGAGAGATCAATAGGAATTCGACATTTAGAACAGGTGGAATGAAGGAGGGGAGGAAAACATGGTAAGAGTGAGGTACATTCGGTGAAGAGGAAAGATGGAAGTTCATGTTTACATGGGTGGTTGAAAAACACAGGTGGGAGCCGGCTCACCACAGGGCTTGCATTTTCTTTTTTTTTTAAGATTTTATTTATTTATTTATTTATTTATTTATTTATTTATTTATTTATTTGAGAGAGAGAGAGAGAAACAGCATGAGAGGGGAGAGGGTCAGAGGGAGAAGCAGGCTCCCTGCAGCCCGATGTGGGGCTTGATCCCAGGACCCCGGGATCATGACCTGAGCCAAAGGCAGTCGCTTAACCAACTGAGCCACCCAGGCGCCCATGGGCTTGCATTTTCTGCTACGTAAGCAGCTTGGGTTTTATCCCGTAGATAGTGGGAAGCCACTGAAAGATTTTTAACTCAGCGAAGTAAGATCAGAGCATTATGTCAAGATATAGCTAAGTCAAACCTGTAGTATTTAGTAAGGTAGGAGCAGTTTCTTAGTTATCATAATCAAACACAAAGACTTTAGGGATTGTTAAGTCCAGTGCCAATTTTATTTTTTTTTTTAAAGATTTTATTTATTTATTTGAGACAGAGAGTGAGAGAGAGAAAGAGCACAAGAGGGGGGAGTGGGAGAGGGAGAAGCAGACTCCCTGCTGAGCAGGGAGCCCAATGCGGGACTCAATCCCGGGACTCCAGGATCATGACCTGAGCCAAAGGCAGTCAGTCGCTTAACCAACTGAGCCACCCAGGCGCCCCAGTCCAGTGCCAATTTTATATGACAAAGTGGGGTTTAGGAAATAAATCTCATTAGCTATAGGCAACTCTAAAGTCAACAAAAAATGAGAATTATTTCAATTATAAGTGAACCTACTGCTCATTCTCAGATCCTTTGATCTGAGATTCGGGTGGTACAGGAAATGATGAGCAAGTGTCTATTCCTCCTCTCTTCTCATCAAAGTATGTCTTGTCATTAATAACTTCAAATGATGGGGCACTGACTACCTTCCCTAGTAATCTGCCTTCCACACGGGGCACCTATAAAGCCTGGAAATATAAGTAATATCGTACTTTTTTATGGACTGAAGACATCTCGGACAATATTATCTATATTCACCTATATGTGGGTAAAGAGAAACTTATTTTTAACAATAAACTTTCGTTAGGTAATTTTTTTTCCTTTTTTAATTGCAAAAGTAAGGAGAAAAACTGAGGTGGTATGAAGGGCACAGACCACACACACTGCCTTGGGGTGCTGGCATTCACCTTCACCAGGAGCTGGGTGAGCTCTTCCGCCCCGCTGTACACTGCTCCAGAGGCTTTCCCCTCCTGCCAGAAGACGTCTGAGGAGAAAGTTAAGACCACTGGGTCAGTAAGCAGGAACTTGCCCAAAATACGAAGCAACACCTCTGGGTACAAAAGAAAAAAAAACTTTGAGTGGAAACCCACAGATGATCTTATATTAAGTCAAGAAAAAGAATTCCAATAAAGACCTATCACAGCAAAATAAAGAAGAAAGATCTTCCATTACTATCAACAGCAGTGTGAAAAAGATATTAACAGAAGCCAGGTATAATCTAGTGCAATAATGATGCTGTCATCATCCCCAACGGCCTTCTACCAGTAGAAAATTGTTCCTTGATCTATACTCATTTCCTGGTCTCTGTATGGCTAACGACTTTTTTCGCCCCTTCCTGTCCAGTCAAAGGAAGTGTGAGAACTGTCATGAGCAGAGCTGGCAGGGAAGAGCACGGCAAAGTGTGGAATTTCAGTACACTACTGTCAGAGTTGGAGCCAGGGAACTGAATCCCTGACAGACAAACCACGATGATAGACTGTCAGCACCCTGGCTTCAAGGGCGCCCCTCCACGAGCCCGAAACCTACCCACAATTCCACTTTCTGTCTGAGGTGCTTCTCCCAAGACAGTCTACGTTGTATCAACGAATCTGCTGACGTGGGTATCTCAGATACAACATGGCTGTGCCCTACTGAGAGTGCGCAGTGACAAGCCACTCCAGAGACACACTAACTGAAAACTGTCGCCGCAGGCTCTACAAAGCCATTATCTTCAGCTCCAACAAGAGAGCAGAAGATTGAGTAGCAAACATCCAGACAGACCCCTCATCTCAGGCAATCTGCCAAGCTCTGGCTTGATTCCAGTAGGACTTTCCCTCTTTCCTTACAGGACACTGGACTATACCATGCACGTCTTCAGACCAGAGGCCACCAGCCTTTCAAAAATAGACTACATGGTTTCATTTCCTGTTATTTTACTGGTGCTACTGACAATGACTTGGAAAGGAAGGGGAGGCAATATGGCGGCAGCAACGTGCCCTCACGATCATAGAAATCTTTAACATCCAGGTCTCAGAGGGCTGATCCCTGCTTTGCATCATCTATAAATCCTGGACTGCAGCTAATTTTGTACCATCCAATGTCAAAATCTCAACACACGTCAATTAGAAATTTTTAAGTGTATTTGTTGAAATGCAATGTGGTATCCTGGATTGGAGCCTAGAACAGAAAAAAGGACATTAGTGGAAAAACTGGTGAAATAGGAATAGAATTTGCGGTTTAGTCAACTACTGTTTCGACAAATGCATCACAGTCACTTTAGATGTTAACATCAGGAGAAGCCAGGTAAGGGGTGTATGGGAAATCTCTGTATATATGAATTTGCAAATTCTCTACAAATCTTAAATTATGGGCGCCTGGGTGGCTCAGTTGTTAAGCGTCTGCCTTCAGCTCAGGTCATGATCTCAGGGTCCTGGGATCGAGTCCCACATCGGGCTCCCTGCTCCGCGGGAAGCCTGCTTCTCCCTCTCCCACTCCCCCTGCTTGTGTTCTGTTCTCGCTGTCTCTCTCTGTCATATAAATAAATAAAATCTTTAAAAAAAAAAAAAGAGTAAAACAAATCTTAAATTATGACAAACTAAAAAGCCTATTTTCGAAAAGTATTTGCAATATGGTCTAATTTGTAATAAACCTGTAACAAAAACCTGTGTTTGTGTTAACAGCCAACATTTATGGGGCGCCCGGGTGGCTTAGCCAGTTAAGCATCTGCCTTCGGCTCAGGTCATGATCCCAGGGTCTTGGGATCAAGCCCCACATCGAGCTCCCTGCACAGTGGGGAGCCTGCTTCTCCCTCTCCCCTCTGCTAGTGCTCTATCTCTCACTATCTCTCTCTCTCTCAAATAAATAAATAAAATTTAATTTAAAAAAAACAGCCAACACTTATTGAGCCCTTACTATATGCCAGGTATTATACATTCATATGTACGATCTTATTTAATCTCTGTAATCATCTTTTCTTTATTTTTTTTATTTTTTATTTTTTTAAAGATTTTATTTATTTATTTGACAGAGAGACACAGTGAGAGAGGGAACACAAGCAAGGGGAGTGGGAGAGGGAGAAGCAGGCTTCCCGCTGAGCAGGGAGCCTAATGTGGGGCTCTATCCCCCATGACCTGAGCCAAAGGCAGACACTTAACAACTGAGCCACCCAGGTGCCCCTGTAATCATCTTTTCCTTTTTTTTTCTTTTTTTAAAGATTTTATTTATTTATTTGAGAGAGAGAGAATGAGAGAGAGCACGAGAGGGAAGAGGGTCAGAGGGAGAAGCAGACCCCCCGCTGAGCAGGGAGCCCGATGTGGGACTCGATCCCGGGACTCCAGGATCACGACCTGAGCCGAAGGCAGTCGCTTAACCAACTGAGCCACCCAGGCGCCCTGTAATCATCTTTTCAAGTAAGTTGTATTATCCCCATCATAGAAAGACAGAGACCAAGACATAGCTTAAGTAATTCACCCAAGGTCACACTTTAAGTGGCCCAACTAGCATGTGAATCCACGCTGATCCATGGGCTACACTCTTTTTTAAAGATTTTTTTATTTTTTTATTTTTAAGTAATCTCCATACTCAACGTGGGGCTCAACTTCACAACCCTGAGATCAAGAGTCACGCACTCCTCTCAGCCAGGGCTACACTCTTAAACATTAAGCTATTTGGTATATTTATCCTTCCCTTATGTGCTCATGCATACATACATATCTGTATGTGTATGTATGTTTATTACACAAAAACACTACTAAGATTCTTACATATATATATCATGTGTTTATCTTGTGATGATGGGATTTTCTTTTGTGCCTTTGTGCAGATTTCACAAATTCTGTAATGAATCTGTATTTCATTCTTATTACATATATTCTCTCAAGAAACAAACTTATCTGTTTTATTCAGGCTTACAAAAGGAAATGGGACCAAGTTCCAGTTCCACTGTCTCAGATTTGTTTGCTTTATGGATGGAGGATGAATTTAAATATAATTTTTATGATAAGAAATTGAGCCTCTGAGACAGGATGGATATATAAGTTCCAGGGATGAAACACTCGTAACCTATCGACAGTAAACAATGACCAAACCGGCCACGCTGGGAAAGCAAGCGGCTTGAGCGCACCCGGAATCCTACCCATAGAGCTGTAGTCCTTGAGCTTCTCCAGAACTGCCGACGCGCTCAGGCCTTGAGAGGGCAAAGCTTTCACATAGTCTTTGTCCACTTTCAGGAACGACATGTTCTTGCTTATATCATCCTTGGTCTTGTTCACCTTCTCTTGGATCTCCAAAGGTAAGAAAGACAAAGTTAACAAGGAGATGGAAAAATACAGGCCAGGGAGCAGAAGAACCAGTTACTACTCCAAGTCAACAGTTCAGCGCTGGTTGCCACACCAGTGCTACAGAACGGGGATGGTATTGTTTTTGTAAACAGATATGGGGACATTCTGGCTGCTCAGCTATTTTCTGGCATTTGCGGCAGGCTCTAAGAAGTCTGAAAAGTCAACTTCCTGTCCCAAAGTCAAAGATACATTCAAGCCCCCCCCCCCCTTTCCTCTGCCATGTCAACATCGCCCCTGCTTTACTGGGCTTGCACGCGCCACTGTCTGAGCGCCGTATGTGGACGTTATCCGTGTCCTGGCAAGCAGCCAGTGTGTGTGCTAAAGAAACAAAGGTGGAGCCACCAATGGTGGCCAGAAAACAGGCCAAGCAGCAGCAGAAGCATTCTGGTGCTCGTGCAGGTGATGAGCTCCGTCACCAGACCTGCATGGAGCACGCCCAGAACGCGGACAGCCTGCGCGAGTCGCCACGTGCGTGTGCCAGACACCCCGGGGGTACCGGGGAGACTGCATTCGATCCCCTCGGGCTGTCCGCCACCTGTACTCTTTGACCCTCAAGTGCTAGGGGGGAGCGATGGCCCCTTCTGTACAGTTTACCAATGATGGCTGTTTCTCCGTCGTCCTTCTCACCGCAACAGCCTATGCTTTCCCTCCCTCCCTGGGTGCCGAACTACCCCTGTGGGCCAGCAAGACACCGCGAACAGAACACACTAGGCAGTACGAGTGAGAACAACTTCTGTTCTCACGACGCTTCCTTGTAGCAGCAGACACAGAAAATGAAAGTCAGGTAGTGTGGGCGCCTGGGTGGCTCAGTCGGTTAGGCGACTGCCTTCGGCTCAGGTCATGATCCTGGAGTCCCGGGATCGAGTCCCACGTCAGGCTCCCTGCTCGGCGGGGACTCTGCTTCTCCCTCTGACCCTCCCCCCTCTCATGTGCTCTCTCATTCTCTCTCTCTCAAATAAATAAATAAAATCTTAAAAAAAAAAAAAGAAAGAAAGTCAGGTAGTGGAAAGTACTGGGGGGAACAGAACAGAGTTTAAAAACACAACAAAACGGGGCCTGGGTGGCTCAGTCGGTTAGGTGACTGCCTTCGGCTCAGGTCATGATCCTGGAGTCCCAGGATCGAGTCCCGCATCGGGCTCCCTGCTTAGCAGGGAGCCTGCTTCTCCCTCTGACCCTCCTCCTTCTCATGTGCTCTCTGTCTCTCTCATTCTCTCTGTCTCAAATAAATAAATAAAATCTTAAAAAAAAAAAAAAAGACAGTCAGGTAGTGGAAAGTACTGGGGGGAACAGAACAGAGTTTAAAAACACAACAAAACCCAGCAGGGACCGCTATCTGCACTAAGGGATTGTTGGGGGGTAGCCTGGAAGAGTGGCGTTAAAGCGAGACGGTTTCAGCGACCCATCTGTGAAGGTCTGAGGCCCACGATCTGACCCCAAACATTTCGACTTTCCCATCTCTAGCCCTGGAGGATGAGAACATGAGAGGAGCCTGCTAGATGCGGCCCCCAGGGAATCCGCAGGGCAAGCTGCGCCCGCGAACCACGCCTGCAGGTGTCGCAGGCAGGCTCCGGCAGGCAGCAGAGGCCCGCCCCGCGGCAGTGGGAGGCAGTGATGGGCAGGAAAGTATTTTTAAAAGTTGTACGTGGACTATGCTGCCAAAATGGTGAGCACGCAACAGGAACAAACCATGGAAGCCAAGCTTCCGCGCCTAGACTGCTGCTGTAATAAGACAGAAGAGCCACAAAACGATGGTGAGTCGCATCAGAAGGCACACAAGTACCTTTTCCCCCCAGTGCCTGCCTCAGGGCCTCTATCAATCTTAATTTCTTCACAGCGTTTATTTCAAAATGAAATTCTTACGTATTTGTTCGCGAATCTATTTTCTGTTGTTCCTAGGAAAACGTAAGCTGCGCAGAACGGGGATTCGGTCCCCAGCACCCAGAGCGGTACCTGACGCGGAGCACGTGCCCACAAACCGTGTGCGGAGTGAGTGAACGTAAGGGAACGAATGAGACAGAGACACACACGCACTCGCTCGAAATAAAGAACTCTTGTCTCTGAGCCTCAAAATCTGCTTCTAAAAAATGACAGGTGATTACATAGTTTCTAAGTGCCTTCCAATTCTGTTCTTTTATAAATTTCAGTAAATTTATAAATTTCAGGGTTCTGGAACCCTAGCATTTATTTGTCCCAAAATCTGACACTGAAGGAGAAATGTGTGAAGAAAAAGAGCAGAAAAATACAGGGAATGAAAAGGAGAAATGCTAGTATCCTTTGAGATCCAGTCCACCCTCTATAGCCGCCCTCTCCCTACCCCTTAACTCTAGATCGACTCAGGGAGATTTCATTTTAGGGCTTAAGATGAACTAGGGTCAAATAAAAACCTATCTATTCCCATTCCCCTTTTCCACCCCAGTAACTACTTCTGCTTCCTTATAGGAAATGAACCTGAAAATAAATACACAGTTATGGGAGAGTTAGCCCAGGGGTCTGAATGGATTTGGGTCAAAGGCTAAGGATGACTAACATCTCTTCTGGTTTGGCCAGGAAAGGGGAAAAGGGAAAGGGAATTGAAAGCCAAAAGTGAAAGAAAGCTTGAAGGAAAGCTGAGGGGCAGGCAGGGCACGGGGGGAGCCGGAGACATCAGGGCCAGTGTGCCTTCCTTGCAGCTTGCATGGGGCCTGCCCCATTTATCTCCTTCTGTGATAAAGAGCCGGTGGGAAGGGTACAGAGGTGACTGTCCTATCCTCAGCGTGGGTGAGGGGACAGAGGACACAGTGAAGGGAACATACTATGGTGCAGACAGGTACAAAGAGCAAGAGATCAGGGCTCTCTTAAGTTTCTAAACCTGGGATCCGCCAACTACAGCCGGCCGAGATCTGGCCCCTGGCCGTTCTGTAAAGCAAGTTTCAGTGCAACACAGCCAGGCTCATCCTTCTACCTCTCTATCACCCTGACAGACATGGTATGGCCTGCAAAGCCTAGAATGTTTCCTATCTGGCCCTTCACAGAGAAAGTCTGTCAACCCTGACCTAACCATGTAAGCACCCGACCCCCAGACACTTATCTCAAGTCAGAGCAGCCAAATATTGCTGTAAAGCATCATTCCACTTCGGCCAGCTTTTCTAATCGCAAATTCTGCCTTTAACAGATGTCACCTGTCTCCTTTGGGCAAATATGTTGGAGAAAGGGTTAACTGAGGTTTCTCAATCTTGACACTTCCAACATCTTGAGCCAGATAATTCTCTACTGGGCCCTGCAGGATGCTTAGCAGCACCCTGGCCGCAATCCACTAAATGCCAACAGCACCCCCCTCTAGTTACGACAACCAAAGGTGTCCTCAAACACTGTCAGATGTTCCTTGGCGGGGGGGTACAAAAATCACCCCTCGTCCTTGGGAATTCGCACTAGGTTCAGTAAATAGAAAGAAAGAGGTCATGACCACGGGGGTGATGGGAGGGCTGGAAGTTATACACAGATTCCACTTACCTTGCGACCAATAATAGGCATCTTCCTGATGAGCTTAAAACATCTCTTTTTAAACCTTGACCATAAGCCTAAAAGAAACAAAGGGTTTTGTTATCTATTCAAATAAATTCCCACGGATAATGTGTGAACTACTCAATGTGCCTCCTGCAATCTCACCTGCCTTCTGATCACAAAGGTAGTTTCTTTCTATTTTAAAAAACCTTGAAATTTAAATTGCCAAGTAATATATTTACATGGTTCAAAAATTTAAAAAAATTGGGAAGCCTAGGTAGCTCAGTCAGTTAAGCGTCCGATGCCTGGTTTCTCTGCTCAGGTCATGATCTCAGGGTCCTGGGATCAAGCCCCGAGTCGGACTCCACACTCAGCACAGAATCTGCTTCAGATTCTCTCTCCCTCCTCCTCTGCTTCTCCCCCTGCTCATGTGTGCACGCGCTCTCTTTTTCTTTCTCTCTCAAATAAATAAAATCTTTTAAAAAATTTTTTTAAATTAATAAATAACACACAGAGTTAAAAGTTTCTCTCTCATCTATTCCCCAGACTTTCATCCACCCTCAGGTAAACACTACTACTATTCACTTCTAGAAGAGCTATCTAGAATTTCTTTATGCTTATACAAGCAATAATAAAGATAAAATCTTATTTGTCCCACCCACCTCTTAAACAAAAGATAGCATACTCTAGTACTATACTAGACCTTGATTTTCTACTTAGGCATATTCTCTTAAAGCTCAGTGCTTCCTCATTCATCTTTATTTATTTATTTTTTAAAGATTTTATTTATTTGAGAGACAGTGCATGAGACGGGGGGGGGGAAGACAGAGGGAGAGGGAGAAGCAGACTCCCTGCTGAGCAGGGAGCCTGACACAGGGCTTGATCCCAGGACCCTGGGATCATGACCTGATCAGAAGGCAGACATTTAACCGACTGAGTCACCCAGGCGCCCCCTCATTCATCTTTATAGCTCTAAAGTAGTCCATGATATGGATGTATCATAACTAATTTAACCTGCCCCTTCCTGATGGGACACTTGGGTTATTTCTAGTATGTCCTATTACCAACAACAGTGAAACAATAACCTTGCAGCACATACCACATACCTGATGGCGTGCCTACAGCATGAATTCCCGGAAACAGAATGCTGGGTTAAATGACATATGTATTTCAGAGCTGCTGACCTTCCCAAGGTTTTAGATGCCTAACACCTCTCTTCCCTCCCCGAAAACAAATGACCAAGCCATGCTTTTCTTCAGGATCTATGCTCTAGTCTCTCAGTCAACACACACCCTGACAACATTTCAACATTTTTTGGGCTTAAAAGGCCTTCAGTATCATGGACACCAATCAGACTCCCTTCTGTCAGGCAGTGCACGGACAAATATGGAATTCTAATCCTCTCCACTGCAATAATTATAAAGACATGGCATCTAAATCGACCATCATAACTTTTAATGAATTTGCATTCCATATAGAAGGCACCACCTACAGTCCAAAGGCAACTAAGGATCAAGCATTAATAACTTGCTGAAGGCCACAGATCACATCAGCAACGGAGCAGGGATTTAACTGAGGTCTTAATTTTCCTGGCCCTACACCCCCAGGACTCTATGCTGCTTTAAACCCAGAACAGAAATTCTCAGTTATCCCAAATGAGCCTATAAGGAATCTAGACCTGGCTTCTGTGCAGGCAGGAAATGAGTATGACGTTTCACAAAACATTCTAGGAGATGGAGACATTCCAACTTCCCTGGCCAGTGGAGCACTCTCCAACAAGCACAGACTGTGCCCCGTTAGTACCGATTACATGATGCCTTGCATCTTTACTGGCTGCAGCCCTGCCTTTCCCCCTCGCCCACAGTGCCTAGCGCTAGAGTCAATGCTCTGTAATGTCTGGGACAAAACCAGGGAACCGATACCCACACTGAATAAGAAGACAAAGGGATTGGGCGCCTGGGTGGCTCAGTTGGTTAAGCGACTGCCTTCGGCTCAGGTCATGATCCTGGAGTCCCGGGATCGAGTCCCGCATTGGGCTCCCTGCTCGGCAGGGAGCCTGCTTCTTTCTCTGACCCTCCCCCCCTCATGCTCTCTCTCTCTCTCATTCTCTCTCTCAGATAAATAAAAAAAATAAAATCTTTAAAAAAAAAAAAAGAAGACAAAGGGATTGAAATCACTTGTTTGTAGTTACTTTTTATTTAAATTTTCGAGTATTGGGGCGCCTGGGTGGCTCAGTTGGTTAAGCGACTGCCTTCGGCTCAGGTCATGATCCTGGAGTCCCGGGATCGAGTCCCGCATCGGGCTCCCTGCTCGGCGGGGAGTCTGCTTCTCCCTCTGACCCTCCTCCCTCTCATGCTGTCTCTCATTCTCTCTGTCTCAAATAATTAAATAAAATCTTAAAAAAAAAAAATTTTTTTTCGAGTATTTCCTTTCAGCCCTACGTTCTGCACATGAAACACATAGCTGCGATCTTATAGTATGTACAACGCTGTGCCCTCTTGTCACAGCATTTGCTACATTAAAGATCCTTCCTAAACAAGAGGTTTTTTAAGTATTACCATAATAGGCCATCAAATGCGTATAACGTAGCGTTGGATATTTAAGCTGCTTATTATTTGACCATTTCTAATAATGTTAAAGCTGTAAAGATTCAGAAAACATCCTTATTTAACAGATGAAGTAATTAACTAATGAGGAAGAATAAGGTTGAAAACTCAGTAAATGGGAGTCACTTGTCCAGAAGTACAGTCATATGGCTAGGAGGAGGAGGACAGAATAGACAGTGTGCAAGCTGTGAGATTAAACAGGACCGCTAAAAAGAAGAGAATACAAGATCAGAGATGGAGAAATTAGAAATGAAGAGATCACGTGGTCATGACCTAAAAAGATGATCTCAAAAGTAAAAGTCCCCTGAGGCACAGAAAGAAAAGTAATCAGTGTCTATTGTAGTGTTTTAAGGTAATAAAATAGGAAATGCAGTGTGAGGACACCAAAGCATGGCTCTTTACAGTTGACAGATTCCTTTCACACAAACGATGCCTCTCAAAACTCGCATTACCCTATGAGAAAGTAAGGCGGGTGACACTTAGGCCTATTTTACTATGAGGAAACAGGCTAAGAGAGTTTAAGGGTGTTGCTCAAGGTTTCACGGCTAGAAACTGGGAGAGTGTATCACCTCCTCCCACCATATAACTCCAATTCCTGTTCATGAACTATGGACAATCCCACAGTTAAATGAACATCAAGGAGTAACGATATGCGCTGATATCGCAGAGAATTAGGGGCGAGATAACACGGCAGAGAGCTGCTGACCCCTGCCCATGCTCTCACCCCCATCCTCCTGCCGCTTCCAGTTCTTAACTGCCCCAGTGTCCAGCCTGTGTTCCAGAATTATCTCTCATCTTAGAAGCGTATTCAGAGTTTGAAGATCAGCAAAATTTATCACTAGTCCAGACTTTAAGACTCCTCTGGGGCAATGTGCTAAAAATAACTCGACTGTTCAGTGATGAGCCTCTCCATGAGCAAGGTACTGAAAAAATGGCAATGCTATCAAAGTTATCTCCCATCCAAGTACTAATCAGGCCCGACCCTGCTCTAGAGGGAAGACATTTTGATCGGTGTCTAAAATTCAAGTTAGAAGTTATAAAATAAAAAAGTGTATTGTGTGTACATGTGTTAAACTATAGGAAATTGCTGATATTCAAAAATGTTGACCTACAGAAATGACATTTTGTATGTCTGGTTCGACTGGACTCAGATATAGAAAAAAGACACATATGTGTAAAATAGTGGTTCGCTCTAGAGAGCAAGCTTTTCATTTCGTTCTTATGGATTATTGGTATTGCTTAATGCTCTGCAATGAACATGTCCTACTTTTGTAATAAGAAAAAACATATTAAAAAGGACTTAAACAGCTCAGAGTTGGGCTTACAAAGATTTCCATGGTGCATACCATCAACACATCGCTACTGGTACTTTTCTCATGAAATGCATGGAGACCAGCATATTCTGTTTGGAACAAGGCAGCTACATAAGTACCAGGGCCTCAGGTGGCTGTGCTTCTACTACCGAGTGGGCAAAATGCACACAGGCACCGTGGCCTGCAGAACTAAAGACGGAAGTCAATACCTAAAGTGAATACTAATCATAGCAAAGAAACATAAATCTCAAGGTCTGTAACCTTACGTTGGTTTTAACAAATGCACCACCTTAAAAGGAAAAGTACACAGAATGGTGGCCAGCAGGAGCTGGGGGGGAGGGGATCATGGGGAGTTATCGTTCCATGGGTACAGAGTTTCAGTGTGGGATGCTGAGAAAGTTCTAGAGATGGATGGTAGGAATGGTTTTGCAACAACGAGAATGTACTTAAAAATGAGTAAGACAGTAAATTTTATGTACATATATTTTATCACAGTAAGAAAGAAAGGAAGAAAAGTCTATTTATTGCTACTCCTTAGAATCCTCTGGAATAAGTTACTTCACCTGGAAGGACAAGATGGAGGGCTTCCCAGAGCAGAAAGATACGGGTTGTGCCCCTTTCCAAACCACAAAGCAGATGCAGCAGAAGGGTTAGTTATCAGAGTTTATGAGGAAACCTTGCAAGGACTAGGAGGAGGAACTGAGGACAGGGTTTTTACAGCTGGAATGGACTAAAATGTAGACCGGGCAATCAGGTCTCATTCCCACCTACATTAAATGCAATGTTTACTATGCCTTAACCGCAACGGTTACTAGAACGGCTCAGCGGCTATCTGCAGGGTAAACAGATGAAACAGAATCTGGCTTCTAAGTTAACCTTCCGGGGTTGGGCGGGGGGGGGCAGAAAAGCAGAAAAAGTACAGTTAAAGAGCCCCTTCAAACAGATGTTATCAGGGAAGCAAACAGTCATGGCCATTAAAATTTGTTTAAGAACAAATGAGACATGACAAGTGATTCTCTTCAATGTTAATGGTTTTTTATCCCCGGCAAGTTAACTCTGGTACCCTACACTAAGGGTGGGGAAGGGGTGCAGAGGAGAGTCATCAAACACCCACCACCACTCCTACTTTACTTACGAAGCACAACCTGCAGGGGAAACAATTCACAAGGAGGGAACATGCAAGCCGGTCTGGCAGGGGAGGAAGGGTGCCCAGGACCTTAGGAAGGATGGAGGACTTACAGACTCCTCACTAATAGACTTCTCACCTTCTTCTGCACTCCCTGAGAAGTGGCCTCCTCTTCCCCACGTCAGTTTGGCTCCCTGAGTCACTACCCAGGGAGTTCATAGTGCGCTGTCCCCTGACATCAGAAGTTTAACTCCAGGAGGACAGGGACCCTGTATGACTTCTGTAGACATCCCCAGAGCCCAGCACAGTGCCTGGCACACAGCACATACTCACAGGGTCACTGCATGAGTGCTGTTCCAATTTCACATAATCTGTATTGAAAAGATGGCCTAAAATGAACGCAATGAATTCCTGCTTGGGGAACTCCAGGGTATACAATTATGTCCTAGGCAAGAAACTAAACCTGAGAAAGGTTTAAGCCATGCTCTGAGATACCTGTGGATCCTTACAATGACTAATTTCTCAGGAAGTTTTTATGCAAGCTGCAACTCCAGAAAAATCAACAAAAGCAGCTATAGATACATCACAGCAGCTACTGTAACTTTACGTATAGAGTCCTACTATAACTTCATGGTCAGAAGAAGACAATGTCCCACTTCCCATTTAAATAAGATTTTAAAAATCAGAACCAAACCAGAAGGCAAGCAATTAGTCCAATCCATCAGCCATGAGTTCTAAAGCTAGTGAGATTCCACTGTACCTTTCCAGAGGAGAGGGGGCAGTATACTTACTCTCTGGCTGGAAGACAAAATCATATGCCCAGACTATCAGCAGGGTGCACAGGACACTCCAGGCAATGAGCTGCCAGGGCTCATACTTGGTGCAATGTCCATTTACATAATTCTTGGCCTTTGTGCAATATACTTCCAAAATCTCAAAGTAGGGCTCAAAAGCCTTCTAGAAATACAAGAGAAAAAGAGAAACGTGACATTCAGAGAGAGAAAAGTCTGTTCTTCGTTTGTTCCTCTGCTCTCATTTTTCAAGGGCAAGGCCACTCATGATCTGGCCCCACCCCAGCAATAATCTTATCTTCCTCCACAGTCCTCAAAGCTTCTGCTCCAGTGGTACACTGCCCCTTAGAGTCAGGTGGACTTTGACAAGGTTTCTGATCTTCTGCCCAGTCTATAAAATAGAAGGTTCAGCTGGATCATCATTTCAGCCCTGAAGCTTTTCTGTGCCTACAGTATTCATCATCCCACTCTCTTAACTCCAAAGAGCCCGTCTTACCCTCCTTCTCTACTCCATTTAAATCTTTCCCATCCTCAAACCCAGGGTCAGCAGATTGTTTCTGTAAAAGTCCAGAGAGGAAATGTCTCAGGCATCACAGACCAGCTGGTCTCTGTTACAAGGATCAACTCTGCTTCTGCAGCACAAACACTGCCCCAGACAGTGGGAAACCAATGACTGTGGCCATGTTCCAACAAGTTAATTATAGATGTCAAATCTATATTGCATAGAATTTCCCGTATCACAAAATATTCTTTTTGTGAAAACAATTTTAACAACGTAAAATATCATGCTTAGCTCACAGGCTGTACAGAAACAGGCAGCAGGCTAGAGGTAGCCCATGGGCCACAGTCTGCCAATCTCTGTTCTCACGCCCAGCTTGACTAACAAACATTTAGAGCCGGAGACCATATCTTATCACTCTGGGTATCCCTAGCAATAGCCAGCACAAGCAAGAAAAAAGTCCTCTCCCCTGATCATTTACCAGACTAGCCCACTCATGAGAATGAATCTCTCCCCTTAAACTCTCCTCAAGTCTCCCCTTGCGCCTCCCCACCGAGCCCAGCAGCAGGTGGCCTGCACTCAGCCTACTCTCTCACTCCATGCTTGAGTCCTTGAATGCTGATCAGATCTGAATCATCGCTGCAAGCCCCTACGGTGGCGGTACAAAACAGGTTCATCTGATACTTTGTTCCTCACTCACTTATTCAGTGTTTACTAAGCATCCCCTGTGGTTAAGGCATTAAGTTGGGGGAGCCCTAAGGTAAACATCACAAGTTTTTGCCCTCACTGAGCTTACAATCTAATGGGAAAGGTGTGTGTGTGTGTGTGTGTGTGTGTGTATGCACAAACATACACATGAAAACATACACTAGCAGACACATACATGAACAAATAATTCAAATTCTTCAGGATAAAAAGTATTTAAGGGGGCGCCCGGGTGGCTCAATAGTTAGGCATCTGCCTTCGGCTTGTGTCGTGATCCCAGGGTCCTGGGATTGAGCCCCGCGTCCAGCTCCCTACTCAGCGGGAAGCCTGCTTCCCCCTCTCCCGCTGCCTGCCCCCCCCCCATCATGCTCGCTCTCTCTCTCTCAAATAAATAAATAAAATCTTTTTTTAAAAAAGTATTTAAGTAAAGTGCTAAGAGAGACCACTAAGAAAGGCCCGTCTAACTCTACCTGACAGGAGACGGGGAAGATATTATTAAAAGGGTAAAAGAACTATCGAAGAAAATGCTCTTGGCAGAAAAGTTAAAAGAAAAAAAAAAAAGTCATAACCGGGAAGAGAGGAGCTGTAAATGCATAAGAAAAGTCTAGGAATGGCAAAAAAGTTCGGTGTAGTGAGAGCAGCGATGGGGACAGGGAGCTATGCGTGTCATCTGTGCTAGACCCCCAGCACACAGTGCACGCTCCATGAACACCCGGACGGTGGTGGCGACCGAGCGTGTGCGTGAACACATTAATCAGAGAATGGAGGCTGGCAGAAGTGCACTAGGTCCAGATTAAAAATGGTCTTAAAAAAAACCATGGAGAGTGGGAATATAATTTGACAGGCATTTTTTGTAGAGCAATTTGTCAGTGTCTACTGACGTTTTAAATGTATATTCATTTTGACCCAGATATTCCACTTTTTGGTATCTACATGCTTTTCAATACATACAAAGAGACAGGTTCAAGGATATTCATTTCAGTCTTCTTTGTAACAGTGAAATACAAATATCACAAATGTCCATTCAAGGATGAATGGTTAAATAATCTATAATACACACACTTTATGTATTCATACTATGCACCATTGTTAAAAAGATAGATCTAAATGAACTACATAGAAAAATTTCCAGAACACAGTGTTGAGTGAAAAAAAAAAAAAAAAAGCAAATTGCAGAACAACAACAGCAAACAAAAGGTTGTTCATCAGGAGAGTACATTTTTTTTTTTTTAAAGATAACTTGATGGGAGATGAAGGAAAGGAGGACAGAGGTCAGAAACATAAATCTCAGTTAAGAGGACTGCTGAAACAGTCCAGGGGAGAAACAAACTAGGTTTGACCTTAAGCAGTACGACACTGGGGCTGAAAAGCAGCATGGATTAAAAACCCTTTTTGGAGGTTCCTCAAAAAGTTGAAAACAGAGCTACCCTACAACCCAGCAACTGCACTACTGGGTATTTACCCCAAAGATACAAACGTAGTGATCCGAAGGGGTACGTGCACCCCAATGTTTATAGCAGCAATGTCCACAATAGCCAAACTATGGAAAGAGCCAAGATGTCTATCGACAGATAAATGGATAAAGAAGATGTGATGTATATATACAATGGAATATTATGCAGCCATCAAAAAACCCGAAATCTTGCCATTTGCAACGACGTGGTTGGAACTAGAGGGTATTATGCTAAGCAAAGTAAGTCAATTAGAGAAAGACAAGTATTATATGATCTCACTGATATGAGGAATTTGAGAAACAAGACAAGAGGATCATAGGGGAAGGGAGGAAAAAAATGAAACAAGATGAAACCAGAGAGGGAGACAAACCGTAAGTGACTCTCAGGAAACAAACTGAGGGTTGCTGGAATGGTGGGGGGTAGGAAGGATGGGGGGGTGGGTGATGGACTTTGGGGAGGGTATGTGCTATGGTGAGTGCTATGAATTGTGTAAGACTGATGAATCACAGACCTCTATTTCTGAAACAAAAAACACATTCTATGTTAAAAAAAAAAAAAGATAGTAGGAAGGGAAAAATGAAGGGGGGGAATCGGAGGGGGAGACGAACCATGAGAGACTGTGGACTCTGAGAAACAAACTGAGGGTTCTAGAGGGGAGGGGTGTGGGAGGATGGGTTAGCCCGGTGATGGGTATTAAGGAGGGCACGTATTGAATGGAGCACTGGGTGTTATACGCAAACAATGAATCATGGAACACTGCATCAAAAACTAATGATGTAAGGTATGGTGACTAACATAATAAAATTAATTAAAAAAAAACCTTTTTGGAGGTGGCACAAACAGGGTTTGCTAACTTCATAGATACAGGAAGCACATGTGGGAAGAATAATTCCAAATGTTCAAGTTTAAGTCTGAGAGAGCAGGTGAGTGGTGTCACCACCAACCCCAGCAGACGAGAAGAGAAAGGGAGATTCTGAGATAAAGATACTGGTTTGAGTTATGTTCCTGTTGGATATCTACCTGCAGTGTTCTAGTAGAAGCATGAAAGCTTAGGCGGACAGGTACTCAACAAATGTTTATTGAAAACTTTTTTTTTTTTTAACTTTTATTTATTTATTTATTTGACAGAGTCACAGCGAGAGAGGGAACACAAGCAGGGGGAGTGGGAGAGGGAGAAGCAGGCTTCCCGCCGAGCAGGGAGCCCAACGTGGGACTTGATCCCAGGAGCCTGGGATCATGACCCGAGCCGAAGGCAGACGCTTAACGACTGAGCCACCCAGGCGCCCCTACTGAAAACATTTCTATCCTTAGCAATTAGGCTGCAGTATAAGGTCATTAACATCAGGCAAGTGCTCCGTTCCCTAGAGGGCTATCCACGGAAACACAGCTTATCTGCAACCCGCTCATAGTTCTTAGCCATTCCCCAGAGCCCACTGTTGCTATCAACAACCTCAATCCTACACAGCAGTCACAGTGCCGGTCAGGACCTGGGGAAGACCAAAGGCGTCTACCCATCATCAGAGGTGTGTCATGATTTCCATCATTATAAAGAATCTTCTAGTGTTAAGGCTAGGATCAAACCAAATGGTTAAACAGTGTATACGGGGGGGAGGGGGGGGCACCTGGGTGGCTCAGTCGTTAAGCATCTGCCTCCAGCTCAGGTCATGATGCCAGGGTCCTGGGATAGAGCCCCACATCGGGCTCCCTACTCGGAGGGAAGCCTGCCTCTCCCTCTGCTTGTGTTCCCTCTCTCTGTCAAATAAATAAAATCTTAAAAAAAAAAAAAAAAAATAGTGTATATGGGCTGCCTGGTTGGCTCAGTCAGCAGAGCACTGCAACTCTCAGTCTCAGGGTCATGAGTTCAAGCCCCACACTGGGCATGGAGCCTACTTTAAAAAAATAATAATAATAATAAATGAATGAATGAATAATGTATACGAATGGGATGCCAGAAGAAATAATCATGCAGATTAGCTTTCCTCCAGTGATACTAGTTCCTAATTCCCCCAGAAAATAGAGCTTACTGAGGTCAAAAGATGCCTGTAGATATTATCAATTTTTCATAGCACATAACAAAAAGTAATATCACTAGTATCAGGGAGAGAGCAAAGAATCAGCAAATACAGACTGTGTTAATTTCTACAAAGCCTATTAAGATACGAAGGCATTCCTTGATAACATCTATAAAATTACGTTCAGCGAGAATTTATTTTCTTGGTAATTGCTCTAAGAAGATAATGGGAGTCCTTAAATTTCAAGTCCTTAAATCTATCTCCTTAGGAAGAAATCTATTTCTATATTCTCCTTCTCCAAAGACAGAATGTCGCTGGCCTTGGATAGGTCCTAGTAAACTGTGTAGACAACTAGATGGTCACAGAAATTACATGTCCTGGCCTCAGCCCAAGGTCCTTCTGGTTACTACAAACAACCTAGGTTCCGTCCCCAGTGAATAAGCACCTCACAGCATTAACAGCTCCCTGCTTTATAGGGCTCCATGGGCTAATGCAT